TTGCCAGATGGTGCATTCACTCACTAGAGATAGACAGACTGACTGGAAGAAGGGGAGAGGAAGAAGGAGAAAAGCATCCCCTGTGGAGTGTAGTCATACCACATTCCTGTCTCCTCCATTTCTCCTTTCTTCAGAATTTAGGGCTTGCCTACATTTGGGTCCAGAGTTTCTCACATCTCTGGGTCCAGGACTGAACTACATTGGGCAACCACGTGGAGTCCAGCTGCTTATATCACCAACTTGCAGGACCATCTGAACATGCTAATTCTTACTGAGATTTATTGCTGTGTATTATATGAGGAGAGACAATATGAAATGGAAAGAAAATACAAAACTGTGATCTAACTGTCTGATGCAGATTAGGACATAGGACATAGGACGTTCCAAGGAGCAGTTATGGCATTCTACTTCATGGAAGAGGTATAGATTAGGATGTAGTACATTCCAGAGAGCATAGTTAGGACATTCTGCTTCACAGGAGATAAGATATATATTAGGACGAAGTACATTTCAGAGAGCATAGTTACCATATTCTACTGCATAGAAGAGTACTCATTGCAAGAGCCCTCTTATAGTCCTCCTCGTTTACTCTTTATATCATGTGTCGCATATGTCTCTTATCCCCCCCCCCCCAGCACTATTCTGGAGGAAATGGACAAGACAGATGGCTACAATGGATTGAGGAGAGGTAACATGTGATGAGTTGAAGGAATTGTAATTATTCAGTGTGAATAAGAGAAATGTGGGTCCAGTTGCCTTTTACTATTATTATTATTAATTATTTTTGAGAGACTTTTTTGCTATAGGGTACATGCACTTGGTGGAGAGACAGAGAGAGACAGAGAGACAGAAAGTGAGAAATCACCCCCCAGAGGGGATGGCCACGCCATAATCCTTTCTTCTCCATTCTCCTCTTGGGATTTTGGGCATGCACACACACATGCTTGGCTTGAGTTTTAAGTCGCTAGATTTGGGACTTGAACCACGGTCAATAACATAAGAGAGTCCAGCAACATAACCAGTATGCCATCTTCTGGTCTCTATTATTTTACTTTTAAAAAAAATTGCTACTGGGTGTAGGTGCTCATCTAAGACAGAGAGCGGGAAAGTAAGAAAATACCTACAAGGGAGATGACCATGCTTCAGTCCCTTGGTCATGCATGCACATGTGCCTGGCATGTTTTTCAAGCTATTGAGTCTGAGACTTGACTTTCTCAACTGACTATGTGGGATCTACTTGCTTTAATCTCCATGCCATCTGCTTGGTCCCTGGCTACCTTAAAAACATTATTTGATAATTGTATACTCAGAGAAATGATATGAGACTAGTAACAGTACAAAGAGTGTCTAAATACTCTATCTAGATTCACCTATGGATATTTTATGCCATTTGCTTACCATTGACCATTTGACATGTATGCATATATACATGTATGTACACATACATATCTACATACACATCATGGCCCTTTTCCTCCAAAATACATCTACATGTATTTTAAAGACTGAGGGCTATTTTTTTTTCCTGATTGACCCAGTTTCCTTTGTAGCATTTCCCCTTCCATAGACTGATTTTTAAAGAGCAAGGAATGAATCAATCATAAGTGATTTTTTGGTAGAAATTTTCTGGTAAGGGTCTAAAAATTGTGGAGACATAAAGTTGGATTTCCCTTTTGCTTCGCCTCCATCCCTTCCCCAATATTTCCCATATTGGAAAGTAGACTGTACTGTGTGACGAATTGTTAAAACAGAAACTTGAGTCATCCTTGATTTCTCTCTTGCCCTTATTCCCTGTGTTTAGCCTGTCACCAAGTTTTGTAGCTCCTGTCTCCACCATACATCTTGAAACTCATCTGTTCCTTTCTATTTGTCTACTTTGACCTGCAGAATCTGTCACCATTTCTTACGCTAAATCTTATATCGTTTTCTACCTACTTTCCCTATATCCATATTTTTTCTTCCAATTCCTTCTCCTATTGCACTCCTCACATTCCATTTGAGTAATGTAAAGCAGCTCCTGCCACCCTCCTGACTGTTCATCATGCTGGAGCACTGCATGCACAGTTAGCTCTTCCTTTAGCTCAGGGCTTAGATATTCTCCTCCAAGAGGCCTTCCTTGATGCCCACTTGGTCTTTTTACTTCTATAGCACTTCATTGCTTTTTTTCACACACATATCATTCTTTTTTGTCTTTTTTTTTTTTGGAGAGTTTTTTTTTTCTTTTTGCTTTCAGGTGCATGCGCTCGCCAGATAGACAGAGAGAGACAGAGAGACAGAAAGCGAGAAATCACCCCCCGGGGGAATGGCCACGCCACAATCCCTTCTCCTCCATTCTCCTCTCGGGACCTTGGGCACACACGCACACACGCCCGGCGTGAGTTTTAAGCCACCGGGTCCGGGACGCGAACCACGGTTGACTACATGGGAGTCCAGTGACATAGCCATTACGCTAACTGCTGGTCCCCACATATGATTCTTAATTTACTTGTTTGCTTTTTCTTTCCTGTATCTCCTACCCTAGGTTGTAAAGTACAAAAAACAGGGACAAGTCTGTTTTGTCCACTTTTGTATTCCTAGCGTTCAGCATATTGCTAGGGTGTTAGCAGTGATTAATATATACTTGAATACGGAGCAGAAAGAAACTTGAGAGGGGTTATCTAGTTGTATTGCCATTGGTTTACCATGTTGAATCATTCTGATAGTTTGAAAGGTTTTCCTTAGGGCTAAAAAGTGCCTTTCTTTTATTTCCATTCATTGAGGCTAGTTGTATCCCTCTTTCATGCCTTAAACTACTTTGAACCCTACGTACCACACCTTAAACTATTAGACAGCAAATGTCCTGTGTTCTCTTAGCTTTGCTAGGCTAAAATATTGATTTGTAAATGGTTTTTGTCATTGACTTGATACTAAAAGTGATATACTATTGTTAAATGACTTATAGCATATTAATTCAGTGTATTTTAGCCATTAAAATAATGAATCTAACTGTAGAAATGTGAGAAATAGTTCTGAAACAACGATATTTACAAAGTAGAGCATTGGGGGCTGGTATGTAGTGTGGTGGTTAAGGCACTGGACTCCCACATGGTCAACTGCAGTTCGAGTCCTAGACCCAGTGACTTGCTTTCTTTCTCTCTCTCTTCCCCCTCCTCCTCTCTAGTCAAATTAAAATAAGTAAATAAATAAATAAAATAAAGTTAAATAAAATAATTCTTTAAAAAAATAAATAAAAAATAGATCTTTGGAGCCATCCAATGACGTAGTGGTTCAGGTGGTTGGATCTCACATGGCTGCCTATGTGGTTTGAGTCCTGGATGTAGCAGCTTAAAAAACATGCTGGGTGCATGCCCTATATCTTGAAAGGAGAATGGAGGAGAAAGGATTGTGGCATGTCCATCCCCACTGGGCGGGTAGGGGAGTGATTTCGCACTCCCCATGAATGTACCTGGGCTATAGCAAACTTAAAAAAAGAAAAAATAGAATATTATACTGGATCTAAATCATTATTATAGCTAATTGTATGTAGATGAAATTTAGAAGGGTATGTGAAGTAATGGGAATAGTTGTGATAGAGGTGAAATTCTAGGAAGGAGTTCTTTTTAAAAAAATATTTAATTTTATATATTCATTCATTTTATTTTAATTTAGCCAGACAAAGAGGAGGAGTGAGAGAGAGAGAAAGTGAGAGAGCAAGAGCAAGCAAGTCACCAGGTCCAGGACTCAAATCGTGTTTGGCTATGTGGGAATATCCAGTGCCTTAACCACCACGCTACCCGATGGTGCCCTAGGAAGAAGTCCTTAAATAAAAAGTATTTTATAGCTAAATAAGAAAAAATAAAATCTTCTGCTTAGAATTGTTAATGTGATTCTAACTATTGGGTAGTCAGAGAAGTCATGACAGTTTTGCGTGAAAAAACAGAAAAATACGTCCACTTTTCCGATGACCCAATAGAATTAAGTGAGATTTCAGCAGTTTACATTAACTCTTCTGATTTAGATTTTGTGTTTCTTTTAGTGTAGTCTTTTTTTTTTTAATCGAATTCATGTTTAATAGTTACAGGCACCGTTATTGGGTAGTCAGAGAAGTCATGACAGTTTTGCGTGAAAAAACAGAAAAATACGTCCACTTTTCCGATGACCCAATAGAATTAAGTGAGATTTCAGCAGTTTACATTAACTCTTCTGATTTAGATTGTGTTTCTTTTAGTGTAGTCTTTTTTTTTTTTTAATCGAATTCATGTTTAATAGTTACAGGCACCGTGCTCTCCCTTCTCCTGCTCAGGCAGCAGCAGGGGTGGTGCAGGGGCTGGGGCATACTCCCCCAGCAGCAAGGATGGCAGACCCATGAGTGATTTTAAGAAAATAATAAAGGACCCCAGGGCAGGGGGTGGTGCCTCCCCCCACCAAAGACACACCAATTTCACGACTTTATATGTCTTTTAGTGTAGTCTAAGATGATCCATTTCATGGCCCTTTCACACTGTGATAACAACATGTGGGTTACTGGCTACTGAATCAACTGGGCACGTATAGAGCGTTTCCATTACCATACCACCTTCTATGGATAGTGTTGGAGTAAGAGATTGTGTGGGATGGGATTACTCATGAGCACTTAGGTGACTTGTGTGCATATAATTCTTTTGAGCCTGAAGAGGTCAAATCTTAAAGGTGGGGCAAAGGAAAAAATGTGAACAGGATCACAAGATAGGCAGTTGTTGGCATTCAACATTAAGTGGCAGTGTCTCAGGTCAGCTGGTTATTGAAGGAGTGCCGGAGCAGGGAGAAGCGTGAGGGAAACAGCTCTCTGGATGAGTGGGTTTGGCGTGCACAGTTTCTAAATGTGCAAAAGTAGGGTCTTTGTGTTGTAAGGAGTACCAATGGGGGGAAAAAAAAACAACCCAAACAAACAAACAAAAAATCCACATTTCTTAGACATTTATAAAAACATTTTCCTCATGTCTATTTTTAATCTTACAATTTTTAGGAAGACTAAAAAGAGCCACATTGATGAATCTTTATCAGTGGATTGTCAACTACTTCTGCTTTGCCCTGATGGTCAACTCCTGCTTTGCCCAAGTGAGTTAGCCAAATGAGTTTATGGAGAGTGGTATCTGCAGAAGAGCAGCAAAGCTGGTTGGCTGATTCATTGTACCTAAGTCCTACTTGCTGCGCCTGTCAAAAGCCCCCTGTACCTAATGCCTTATTCTGTCTAGTGTTGATTCCTAACCTGGAATCTCAGGGGCTCTTTGCTCACTTCCTTAGAAAGACACTCAGATTTCATAGTGTAGTGTTCCTCAAGGTTTTATGACCATGATCCTCAGTAGAAATATATTTTACATAGAGTGCACAGTGTCCAGGCTTAAAACTAAAACTGTCAAGTAACATTTACCCTATCTGTTATGTTTTCTGATATTTTCTCTTCTATTCTTATGGTTTGTTGTAGCAAGGACACTTACCCATTATTAAATGAGAAAACACTGCTCTAGGATGTACAAAATCAATTTTAAGAAAACAACTAAACATTAGAAGAGCTGCTGAAGCTGTAACCATAGGAATCTATATTGATTTTCCTTGTATGAGACTGTAAAGCAAAAATAAAATAAATGTATTCTAAGTACTTATGTTAGTCTATTAGAGGTGCTATAACAAAATACATTAGACAAGATAACTTCATAAGTCATCAAAATTTAATTGTTTACTGTTCTAGAGGCCAGAGCCCTGAGCTATGTGTCCTCATACTGCCCCTTTTTTCTCAGTTGTATGTTGGAACTTCTGTTTTTCTGTCAAGCATTTTAGGTCCCGTACCGGGACTGGAAGCCTACCCTGATCTTACATTCAGTCAGTTCTTGTTCTAAATATTGTTACCATAATTTTGTTTAATGTTCTATTTGAGCTCTTTTTCTGAAAGAAAAAGGGCAGAAAAGGAGGCACAAAATAAAAGACAAAAAGCGATCGGCTCTGTATTCCCTTAAGTTATTGCCATTTTCTTTCTTAATTTGAAACAGTAGGTTATGTTCCCTGGCTTCATTTCCTTATCTCATTTTTCATTCTTGAACCTGCCATAGTCAGATATCTGTGCCTTATCTTGTTTCCTGAAACTTTAATGGCCAAATTTGCAAACTATCAAGTCTAATCTTTTTTGTTTTGAATATATATATAATATTTAACTTATTTGTGGAATTTAACACTACTGCATGTTACTTCAGATTCTCTTCCAAACTGCTCTTGTGGTTCTCCTCTTTCCTTTAGAATTATACATTCTTACCTTTCTCTGTTGTCCCCCCTCCCTGATTCCCCCATTCCTTAAATGTCAGTGATCCTGTTACAGTGCCCTTAGCCTTTCTCCTCTTGTTCTACGTCTTTTCCAAGTGACCGCTCATGTTTCTGGTGGAACTTTTGACCATCATTCCTGTGCTAACAATTCTCAAATCATTCTCTCTCTTTTAGACCTTGCCCTTGGATCTCAGGCTTCTTTATGTGATCAGTAAACACTCCCAGCTGCACTATTGGTAGATACCTCAAAGTTAGCTTGAAATGCTAAGTTCATGATTTCTTTCCACAGACAGTATTTACCCTCAGTGAAAGACAGTCACCTTACCCTCTGTCCTGAAAGACAGAACTGGAATCCTGAGCCCTTTCCTGTCATCTGTCATCAGTCAGTCGTTTTTTCACTTACTATATATTACCCTTTCATTTTGTGTTGTAACAAAATTTGTGAGACTTGATGTCACTAGTATATTTTATATTTTAATCTTCTTTTTCACTCTTAATGTATGTTTATTCCATAACCCTATGATCTATGAATAGATAAAAATACAACATCAAAGAAGAAAGTAGTTACATTTAACTGGGCTATATCTGCGTTTGTGTGTGTGTGTGTGTGTGTGTGTGTGTGTGTGGTTTATTTTAAGTTTAATTCCATTGTGGTCAGAGAAGTTGCTGGATAGTTTTTATATTTTTCAATTTGTATATGTGGTCAGTCTTTGAAAATGTTCCATGTGGAAATTAGAAAAAAGTGTATTTTGTAGATGCTGGGTGAAATGTTCAGTAGATTTTTGTCAGGCCCACTTGGTTTATGGAATCAGTTCCTGTGTCTCTTTATTTTTTGTCTAGATAATCTGCACAGCGGTGATAGTGGGATGTTGAAAACCTCAGCAGTTAGTGTTTTATAGTCTATTGCTCCCTTTAAATCTAACAGTCTTTTACATATTTGGGTACCCTGGTGTTGGGTGTGTAAATATTTATAATTGTTATTTCTTCTTGGTGACTTAAACCTTTTAGAATTATGTAGTGTCCTTCTTTGTCTCCTGTTCCCATTTTTATTGTGAAGTCTGTTTTGTCTGATAACATTATCACAGTCTTCTCTTTGATTTATTTTTTAAAAAAATATTTATTTATTTAATTCTATTTGTTGTTATTATTTTTTCAATTTGACCAGAGAGAGAGAGAAAGGGAAAGGGAGAAAGCAAGCCACCAGGTCTGGGACTCAAACCACAGTTGGCCATGTGAGACTCCAGTGCCTTTAACCACTATGCCACCTGCCAACCACCTTTATTTGATTTCTGTTTGTATGAAATGACTTTTACCAGCCTTTCACTTTTAGTTTATTTTCTTTGTCAGTGAGGTGTGTTTCTTGTAAGCATCATATAGACGGCTCCTTTTTTTTTTCCCTTTGAGCCAATCTGTGTCTTTTAGTTGGGAAATATTACCCGTTAGCACCCATTGTTATTGATATGTGCAGACTTCTCTCATTTTTTTTTTACTTTTTTTTGCTAGTTGGTTTGTATTCTCTTCTATTCAGTTGTTGGAAAAGTCATGATGCATTTTTGTATAGAAAAACATAAAAAAAAAGTGATGACTTTTCCAATGAGCCAATATTTATTTCCCTTTTCCTGGTGTTGTATTCTTATAAGTATTTCCTGAAGAACTAGTCTACTTTTGGTGAATTTTTTCAGTTTTGGTTTAATCTGAAAATGATATTGTTTCTCCGTCATATTTGAAGGATAATCTTGCTGGGTATAGTACTTGTGGCCGAAATTGTTTTTCCTTCAGAGTTTTAAATATATTTTCCCATTCTTTCTTTGTCTGCATGTTTTTCTTTTGAGGGGTCTGATGTTAGCCTAATGGGATAACCTTGATAAATAACTTGATTGATATTTCTCTCTTGGCATTTTGTCTTTGATTTTTGCCAATTTAGCTATGGAGAGACTAATATATCTTGGAGAGGCTCTTCTTATGTTAAATCTATTTGGTGTCCTTTTGTATTTCTTGGATTTGGGTGTCTGTATGACTTTCTAAATTTGGAGAGATTTCAGCAAATTCATCATGAAAGGGATCTGCTATGCTTTTACCTGTTTATTTGCTTTCTGGAATACTATTGTATGGATATTCAGCCATTTAATGGTATCTAGGATATCCTGTATGTTATCCTCATTTTTAATGGTTAGTTTCTCATTCTTTTCATTTGCTTGGACTGAATTGGAGGTTTTGCTGTCAACATTAAAGATTCTTTCTTCTGCATGGTCTAATCTACTGTTAATACTTTTGAGGGAAGCTTTGATTTTTTGCATTGTATTCTCCATGTCCAGAAGTTCTGTGTGATTCTTTTTCAGGGTGTTTCTCTGTGGAGTTCCTCCTTCAGATCATGGAAAGATTTTCTCATCTCCTATAATTGGTTGTCTTGTTTCTCTTGCATTTTATTGAGTTTTGTTATGAAAAATGTTCTGAATTCTTCTGATATTTCTATGGTTTCTTGTGTCTTACCTATTGTTGGTGAGGAATTACTGTATTCCTTTGAGGGGTAGGTGTTTCTTGGTTTTCTCGTATTTCCTGGGACTCTCCTTTGATTTTCAGTCATCTGTTGATGTTCTCACTTCTTCCTCCTACTTTGGAGTAGGTTTCCATAGCTCTGTGCTTGTGTACTTCCCTGTGGTGCAAATTAACTCTGTACCAGTTTCCCTCTTCTACTGTGGGTGGGAGTGTGGTGTCCATCCACAGTGGGAGTTTTGGGTTCACAGTTTCAAGCTGAAAACAGCTTGTTGCTATGAATAAAGCATAGAGGGTGAAGGGTTTTGTGTGTTCCAGGAACAAGAGATTTTGTGTAAGCACATATTGGTGAGACCATTGCTCTTTCTTTTTTCTCCTAATGGGGGGTGTGGTGAGGGAATTCCTCCAGAACCTCACTGTCCTCAGGTGTTGGGTTCCTGCACACCCAGACCTCTCTGGCCCCAGTGTGGCTGGGAGCTGAGCTAGGCAGGTAGAATTTAAGGTGGTAGCTCAGGTCACCAGCTGTGTAGCTCCTCCTCCCACACTCCAGAGTGCAAGAGGGGCTTTGGTAATCAGCTTAGGCCAGGTGTTTTGCTTCTCTATCCACACAGGGCTGCACCTTCTACCTTCTTGTTCTGGATCTGCGGGAACTGGGTGGTGATCTTGGAGTCTAGGGCAGCCCATTCTCCCATACTCCAGGCTTGGCAGGGTCTTTGGTGATCAGCTCAGGCCAGATGGCCTCTGCTTCCCTTTTGCTCCTGGATGGGTAGCAGACAGGGCCATGTCAGTACAGGCTGGGCTGCACCTCCTACCTTCTTACTCTGTATTTGTATCTTTTTGCTCTAATCCCTTTCATCTTTCTTATGTTGTGGCCTCTAAACCATCCCTTTTTTTCTAATCTATTTTTAATACTGAAATCATAGTGACTTCAGGATTGAGGGTGGCTCCTTTTCTTTTCTGATTTAATAATTGCCCATAGTAAAATCCAGATTTCTTAGTATGGCACATAAAGCTCTCTGCAGGCTATATTTTCTCCAGTGTTCTCCTTTTTCTGATGCATTTTTTGAACTGTGTTTGCTATTCTTGTTCAACTAATAATAGTTTCCTTTTTTATTTTTTTTCTTTATTTTTACATTTTTCCACAAACATTTACTTTACATATCAAAAAATTTAACTCATACTCCTTAGCTCTTCACAGTTAATAAACAACTTTTAAAGTTTCAAAATACTGAATTTTAAAGGTAATGTTCAAAATATTTCTTATAATTTTGTATAATTTTGTTTGTGACTCTATAACAAAAGAAATAGTATGATTTTAAATATTTTTGAGAAAATATTTACATGTCAGCTACTCACATTGTTGAAAAGCAAATGCCCAGCACACTAGTCACACATAAACCTTCTCAATTCAGCCCAATAACAGTCTTCTGAATGCACTTTTGTCTATGCTCTTTACTTAGGCTTTTCACATTCAGTGTCTTTACTGTAATTTACTGCTTATCTTTCGAGACTCTACTCCAGTATTCCCTCTTTTCTGAAGCCAGGTATGACAGCCCCCTCTCATTTTCGTGCCTCCATGTGCTACCCCGTATACTCTGCTATAGCACTTACAGTACCTCATTGCTCTTTTCTTGTCTGCACTTCTTTTCCCTTGTCAGGAATGTCTTATTTTATCTGTAGCCTCTAGCACAGAGCTGGATTCATAATAGGCTTGATAAATGTTTAATGACTGATGATTGTGTTTTAAGTCCTTGCTATAATGAGAACATTCATTCCTTTACCAGACTATAAACTTCTTCTAGCAGATGTTGTTTACTTGTTTACTTTTACTTGTTTACTTTTCAGGATCTTGTCTCATGATTACTTAATAAAAGTCTTGTAATAAGCCCGAGGTGGAGGTTTGCAGTGGGTAAAGTGTTACCTCAATGCAGAGAAAGAAGTTGGATTGTGTCACTTCTAAACACAGTAAGATTACTTTTATATTTGCTAGTTCTTATATCAAGTCTTACATCATAATCTGCCATAGATACAAACATTACACCTCATGTTAATCACTTTGATATTTGGCAAGTTAGGAAGATTCTCAAAGTCAACAGTCTGGGAGTTGATTACATGCTGTTAACTAGTTTGAAGATTTTTTTTGTCCCAGAGGGCACATACACTCACCAGGGAGAGACAGAGGAGGGAGGGAGAAAGCACCTCTTAATAGGGTGTGGTCACACCACAATCTCTTCTTTTCTGTTTCTTCATGGGATTTTGGGCATGTAACATATGCACCTGGCATGTTTCTTTAGCCACAGAGGCCGGGTTTCAAACTGCAGTCAGCTATGTGGCTTCCTTTAACCACTAGGTCATGAGACTGGTCCAAGGATTTTCCCTTTTTTAGAGAGAAAGTTTTGCTATAGGGCGTGTGTGATCCCCAGAGAGACAGAAAGTGAGAAATCACCCCCCGACCCCCAAGGGGATTGCCACACTGCATTCCTTTCTCTTCCATTTTCTTGTCGGCATTTTGGGCACGCATGCACATGTACCTGGTGTGTTTCAAGCTGCCAGGTCTAGGACTTGAACCATGGCCGACCATGTGGGAGTCCAGTACCTTAACCACTACGCTACTTGCTGGCCCCCAGGATTTTTACTTTTAAAATGTGCTATAGTTGTCCTAATTGCTTTGAAGAGTTGTGTGAATAATTATCTAAATACTTTGTAATTAAATCATACAGGGAGTCAACATTAAAGAGCATAGTCATCCAGGGACTGAGAGGTCATGTGTCCTTTCCTATCTAAGTGTTTCTTTTTTATTTTTTTTTGAGAGAGTTTTGCTATAGGGCGCGTGCGCTCACCAGACAGAGAGAGACAGAGAGATAGAAAGCGAGAAATCACCCCCCCCCCCGGGGATGGCCACGTTGCAATCCCTTCTCCTCCATTCTCTTGGGATCTTGGGCACGCACGCACATGCGCCGGGCATGAGTTTTAAGCCACCAGGTCTGGGACGCCAACCGCGGTTGACTCCATGGGAGTCCAGCGACATAGCCATTACACTAGCTGCTGGTCCCACCTATCTAAGTGTTTCTAAAGAAATGTGTTAACGTATTTAAGTTTCTTCTTGGGAAAAAACAAAACAAAACAACAAAATGAAATAATTAGATGCTATGGATGCAGGTAGAGAATGAAATATTAAATAAAGATAAATTATTAAGCAAGAAGTAAGCTATCAAGAAAGAAATTGGTTTCTTTATTTCAGAGTTAGTAACCTACCATGCACGGTTTGTGGTGAGGAGGAATTAAATCAATATCATGAATTGGTCCCTGTTTTATTTGGGTAAATAGAACCTTATAAACAGGTACTTATAAGCCAGTTCTGTAGGACCTTGGCTAGTAATCACAATATATTGCTAATTGTGTTTTAAGCTGTTATGGTGCATGTGTGTACATGCTGTTAGTGTGGATAGGAGGTAAATACAGATACAGTTCTCAGTAAGACACCCTGAAGGGTAACGCTCTTCATTCTTGCTTTCAACCTATATTTGTAAACACCAGTTGGAGCCAGGCTTTGTCCTAGGACTTCATGAAGAAATAGATAAATGAATTCAGCGTCTAGTGGAGGGAACTTCTGTAAACCTGGAGCGGGCTAGGAGCATTTCTTGGCATGGTGTCACGAGGCAGAACCCACAACTTAGTGGCAGGCTTGTCCTCTGCAAAGGTGGCTTGTTGCTATGGCTAAAGCTTGAAGGGTCAGGGATTTTTAGGCACGAGAGACTACGTGCAAGCACATGTCGGTGAGACCAACGGTCTGTTGTGGGAACTGGGAGTCCTGAACTCTTCAGTAAACCAGACTCAAGTCTGGATCAGTTGTGTGGCATAATATTGGGCTGATGACTAGCTTCACTTTGAAGACTCCATAGAAATCTTGAAAGTTCCTTGGTCTCCTTTTTCACTACACTGAATTTGGATTCCATCCAGCTGTTCTTTTAGGTGGGTGGTTTCATCTGTTTTTCAATAGAAGAGTCATTATAATGACTCTGAGACAAATCTTCTGTGATGATTTTGAGATGCCCCCCCTTTTTTTTTAAGTTTGTTCATTTTATTTAATAGGGGGACCCTGTCTTGTAGGGGTCGCATTGTACTGCAGGCCCACACCCCTCAGCCTTTCAACATCATGAATGTGTGCCCAGAGTGCTCAAGTTGACCCAGGACCTGAGTCCCCAGGCTTCCCATAGCTTCTGGACTGTAGATCAGCTCCCTGCTGTCTACCACCATGGCTGGGCCAGGGGGCACTTTGTAATCATCAGAGAAAGTGTGTATTATGTGTCAGTGTGGGTCCAACACCTTGTGTGTATATTGGACTCTTAACTACTGCTCACTGTTTGGTTATCAGAGTAGTGTGCTCCTTGATCTTGTCAGGTTGGTTTGCTGTTTAAACATTTGTTCACTAATATTAAATTATGAGCTTTGTAAATTAATATTGTGGTATATGAAATGCTTTCCTTTTAAAGCTTAAATATGAGAAGGGAACTGGAGGTGTTATATAGAAACCCTCTGTGCCAGGCAGACATGAAACTGAGAAATGGATACATCACTTTATATCTTGATGGGTTATATTGCATTGTGACCTGGCCATTTGGGTGGGAACATTTTGTTGTGCTCAAAAAATGACCAGTGTTTCACTTTTGTAAACCACAAAGTCATGTGTCACAAAGCTACTTTTGCGTCATCTTTGAATACTTTTTTCCTGTTTCTGGAATAGGGTTAAAGATGCCTACTGTTCACATTACTTGTCAATAGTGTTTCCATAAAATACTCATTGTCAAAATAATAGGGCCAGGTTGACTTCACCATAGTACTCTGTTAATCTGAAAACAGTGCAGCCTAAGATAAAAGAGGGGATCAGAAATTGCAGAGGGCTCCTCCACTTATATCCTGCT